TTTTAAACATTTGAGCCAAATAATAAAAAGATGGGGGCAAAATATAAATTATCAATGGGGGTATAACCAAAACTCTTTAGATATTACACTAATTTGTACAAAGTCATGGGGGGCAACTGCCCCCTCCTTGTATAACCTACCTCCGCCCCTGGTCTTAGAGATGCAGAGAAGCAATGTGAGGCGTGTATTTGTTCTATCAACTCTCGTGATTTCTACAATTGCATAAAATGTGATTTCTCGCTCCACGAGGTATGTGCTGGTCTACTTCGGAAACTGGATCATGCTTTGCACGTTCACCCTCTTGTCCTAGAACTCCCTTCTAGACAACTTGAGCATCTGACTGGTTGCTCAGTTTGTTCAAGAAAATCCACTGGTTTCAAGTACAAATGCTCCAGAGAGGATTGTGCGGTTCTCAACAAATTTCAGGTAGATTTTCGTTGTATTTTAGTTCAAGACTACTTCACCCACAAAAGTCATGAACATCCCCTATTCATCTCCACATCCGACAAAGGTGAAAATAAAGCTTTGTGCAAAGGTTGCAAGGAGATATGTCTAGAGTCTTACCTACAGTGTACTGTATGTAAATTCGCTATGTGTTATCAATGCGTTACCATTCCTACTGAGTTATACTACAAACACGATAAGCATCCTCTCTCTCTTTGTTACGGAGAAGAAGGAGGAGTTGATGGTATGTATGTGAAGTATGCGAGAAAGAAGTAAATCCAAGGGATTGGTTCTACACATGCAATGAATGTTGTATCACTATCCATCTTCAATGTGTATTCGGATCCTCGGCTTATATGAAGCCTGGTTTCACGTTATATCATCACTTCACCAAAATGGAAGTTCTCCACAAGAGTAAGAGCACTCGACCGTTTTGCATTACATGTGGTCAACGTTGTCCAAGTTCCCTCTACTACCGATTCGGTTGGTCGGGAAAGACTTTTTGTACGTTATATTGCTTTTTGGCCAAAGAAGAAAAATTGATGATTAGGCCAGCCTGATGTATTTCCTTTGCGTATTGTTGGATTTTGTTTCTTTGTTTTAATGTCTTTGAGAGACTTGTATTGCTACCACTCCTAAATAATAAAATATCTCTGAATTTCATAACTAACTTTTCGTCTGTTTATCTATATGATCTAACTCCCCGTTTGTCACAAGTAATTACTACATACAATACAACTAAACCTCATATGACCTCCATAGAAAAAACAAATAACTCTTATTTGAGATTATCTCATCATACTATTATTTAGACGAAACATATATGAAATTGAGGGTCGGTTTAGTTATAACTCTGATCTGAAAGTGGATAAAAAGAAACTAAACCGACCCTGAATTTAAGATTCTTTATCTTCCATTTATATAAGATTTTTTAACTAAAAGTAAGAAGCTTGAGAATGTCAAAGGAAAAGAAAATTTCCAATAATTAGGTACAGCATATATATATATATTTTTTTTCTTTTACAATAATTTTACGGAAGTTATAGAGTTGTGTTATTTAAATCCTGGATATACACTGGACCTCTATCTAGTACTGTA